TGTTAAAAAATTCATTCCTCGGGCCAAGGAGATAGCTCAGTTGAGTAAGTGCTTGCCTGGCAAACACAAGGTCCTGAGTTTGATCCCTGGTACCAAAAAAAAAAAAAAAAAAAAAAAAAAAATCATTCCTCAATACAGTAAAGGCCATATAAGACAATCCTATAACTAACATCATTCTGAATAGAAAAAAACAGGAATGAAACAAAGATGTCCACTGTCACCACTCATGTTCAACGTATTTCTCAAAATTTAAGCTAGAGCAAAATTAAGCAACATAAAGTAGAAGAGGGATACAAATAGGAAAGAATCGAAAGTACCCATTCCCAAATAATAATACGACCCTATAGTAAAGATTCGATCAAAAGAATTAGAGCTAATAAACTCAGTAAAGTAAAATCAACATTAAAGAATCCATACTTATGGGTATGGTGGCACATGCTTGTAATGCTAGCACTCAGGAGACTGAGGCAGGAAGATTGCCTCAAGTTTGAGGTGCGCCTGGGCTACACAGTGAGTCCAAATCCAGCCTAAACTCCATTCAATACCGTCTCAAAAAAAGAAAAAAAGAAAAAAATTGATGATGGAAAGACCTTCCATGTTCATAAATTAGCAAGATTAATATGGTTAAAATAACCATACCTTCAAAAGCAATTGAATTTCAACCTGAACAAAATACCAATGACACTCTTCAAAGAACTGGGGGAAAGAAAATCTTAAAATTCATATGGAAACACCAAAAATCCTAAAGAGCCAAAGCAATCCTAATGAAAAAGACCAAGGCTAGCGGCATCACAATACCTGATTGCAAGTTATACAAGTCACAGTTAAAAAAAAAAGAAAGTATGTTGCTGACACAAAAATCACACACAGCTCAACCAAACAGAACTTGGGACAAAAATCAAACCCACACAACTACAGCCATCTGATTCTGAGCAAAGGAGCCAAAAATATACACTGAAGAGACAATCACTTCAACAACTGGTGCTGGGAAAACTGGCTATGTCCTTAGAGAAGATTGAAACTCATCCTATCTCTCACCCTATACAAAAAATCAATTTAAAATGCACCAGAGACTAGTTGTAAGATCTGAAACTTTGAAACTGCTAAAAGAAGACAAGAGCAAGGGCCAAGTAGATAGCTCAGGGGATTAAAGCACCTGCTTAGGCAGAGCACAGTGGCTGGGGTTTGATCCCCAGCATGCCATGCAGATCCTGTAGGCCCTAGATGGTGACTGAGACTGGACATGATGGTGCACACCTGTAATCTCAGCACTTGGGAGGCTGAAAACAGGAGAATCACTGAGCCTGATTTACGTAGTGAGATCCTGTACATCCTGTCCTAAATATAGAAAAAAAAAGAAAGAAATGAATAGTGAGAATCAATGCAAAGGACGTCATCAAATTAAAACGTTTTTGCACAACAAAGGAAACAACCACTGATTGAAGAAACAGCCTACAGAACCTTTGCCAGCTATTCTTCCAGAGAGGATTAATATCTAGAGTATATAAAGAAAAAAAAAAAAAGCAAATAGTTCAATAATAAATGGGTAAAAGATCTGAACAGAAACATCAAAAAGATGAAGTACAAAGGGCCAATAAGTACATCAAAAACGTTTACCATCACTACTTGTTAGGGAAATGCTAGCCAAAACTACACTAAGCGACCATCTCTCCCCAGTCTACAATCAAGAATACAAAAAAAAATAGTAAAAGCTGGTGAGAATGCAGTGGAAAAAAGAACCCTTCTACACTACTGGCAGGAATAAAAATTAGGACTGCCACTAGGGAAAACATGTTGCAGATTCCTCATAGAACTAAATGCAGAGCTACCACTAGGTATATACTCAAAGGAACTAAATTCAACATACCATAGAACAGTGATGTGAACTTCTGGTACACGTGCCACCAGCAGGCATGCAGAGCCCACTCTGCCACCATTGAGAGCCAAGTGGCTCCAGTATCACCCCAGCAGCAGAACATTCAGGTTTAATTGCAGTGTTGGCACTTTGCAATACGAAAGTGGGTTCAGGGTTGCAATTTGGGCACTTCGTCTCTCAAAGGTTCATCATCACTGCCGTAGAGATACCTGCATATTCATGTTTACTGGGGCACTGAATACAAAAGCCAAGATATGGAACAGCCCAGGAGCCCATCAACAAATAAATGAAGAAAATATATTTATATACATATATATGTATAAATATATATTTACACACACACAACTCAGACATGAACAAATTCTTGTTAGTTGCAATAAACTGGATCTAGAGTTCATCATGCTACACTCAGAAAAGCAAATATCACATGTACTCCCAAATACTGAGGATCTGAAAAAGGTGACAAGACAAAGATTACTAGACGAAAGGAAAGGAATATGGGGAGGTGAGTGTTGTAAAGACCGGTAGTACAGGCAAGAAATACAATCAAAATACATTTCACGCATTGCCCCCCGCAAAAATATGAACCCAGGTTGAGAAAGTGGAGTGGAGTGATAAGAAGAATGAGTAAACTATGTATGCAGGTATAAACCTACCAAAATGAAACTCATTAATCTGCATAATCTAAAAATGTAGAAAAAAAATATCACTTTGTTCAAAGAGAATATATAAAAATAGCCTGGGATGTAGGGCAGTTCAAAGGTACTGGGTTCAGCTTTCAATATTGCAACAACAAACAAAAACAAGGTTCTGGAATAAAAGGAATTATCTACAGAAGCCTTGTGGCAATCAAATTTCTACAAGAGCCTGGGTGAAGAGACTAAGTTTATCTTTTTTTTCTTTCAATACTGTAAATTGAACCCAGGATCTTAGAACTGAGCTATATCCCAGGTCTCTCCTGGGGAAAATGGTCTTGGCTAAGTCACTAAGTTGCCCACCCAAACTTGCGATCCTCCTGTCTCCTGTCTCCCAATGTGCTATGATTACAGGAATGTGCCACTCTGCAGAGCTTCAAGAAACTTTGTAGAACTGCCTTTCCAGAGCTTAACTGGAACTGCAAAACAGTCTTCCAGAACACTGGAACATCATGACAAAAGCACTGTATGGATCTGCAACCAGGCTCCGAAAGGAAGCTTTAGGCCAACTGTGTGAAAACCTGAACAATTCCCTCTACGTCAGTCTACATCCGAAGAAAAGATACAGACCAGTCATGGGAACTCAGTGTAACTAGATTCACAGGCAGTGTAACATGCCTAACAAAGGCACAGCCACTACAAGTGACATCGATTCTATAGAAATCACCTAAGGGGGCCGGGGAGATGGCTTAATGGAATAAGCACTTGCCTGGTAAACACAAGGGTCTGAGTTCAATCCCCGGTTCCGCAAAAAAAAAAAAAAAAAAAAAATCACCTAGTATAGAATGTAGGAACTCTGGTTTGGCAAAGATCCAGAGACACCTCACTGAGGAATCAAAGGCAGAAGAGATTCCTATTTAGATTCCAAAGTTGTTTCAGTCCTCAGGGTAAAGAAGCAGGTTGGCAAAAAAAAAACAAAAAAAACAAAAAAAACAAAAAACACCACTGAGAAGACTACAGGTAGGTTTTTTTACATTCACAAATAATCTTCCTGAGCTCTTTTGACTGGTACTCTGTGAGGCACTGCTGAAATGCATAGTTTCCAGCCCTCTGTAAGGCTGAGGTAGGACAAAGTTTCAATCCAGCCTGGGAAACTCAGTAAGATTTATCTTAAAACAACAACCATAACAACAAAAATAATAACAAAGGATTGGGGATGTAGACCCTGAATTCAACTCTTACAACAATAAATATATACATACATACATAAATGAGTTGAAAACGCTCAGTGCTGAGTAGTTCTCATCCCACTCCACAATGAGAAAACCTACTCTGAATGGAAAGGGGTTAAGGGCACCACAGGGCTCCAGAAAGTGCAAAACAAAGTGAAGGCATTTATTAAGAAGTTAACTGCAGTACTCCAAATACAGGCTTGGCAGTATCTGGTAGCTATGCATAATTTATGCATCCACAATGCTCCTAGGACTCCTAGGCTTGTATGCAGCAAACTCCAGCACCTTTGCTCTAGAGTCCACCTACAAAAATGTTTATAGCATTGTTCTGATTGGCCCTAATGTGTAACAAATGCACATCAACAGTATGCACACACTGCTGTATTCACACAATACAATGCAAGACCATAATGAAAATACCCGTACACGTCCACAAACTTCACAGTAACTGAAAGCTATAAAGTACCACAATGTTTCCAATTCAAAATCACCCCCTCATTTATATTGCATAGATTAAACAGTAAGTGGTAAGCTGCAAAGACAGCAAGCGATTATCACAAAACTCAAGCTAGAGAGGAAATTCGCTCAGCAAAGAACACAGGGTGGGATATCTCCTGAGAAGTAGGCAATGCTGTTTTTGTTTTTATCTGGCTGTTTTATATCGTTCCTTAACTATGTATGAGGCTTACACTTTTGGCATATGCTATACTGCTTTGAAATGTATCAGTATCCCTGAAGAGACTGATGCTTCTAGACAGGCAACAGCTACACAATGATTCACCTTACATTAAGGCAAATCAACTAAACACTAGGAGAATCCAGGCCCTAAAACCAGCTGATGTCCTTACAGACTGGAAAACTGGCGTTTGCTACAGAGTAGGCGAGCCTTATTAGAGCTTCTACTGAAAACAACCCTCTGCAGCACGCATGCCACGGTGTGTTTTGCCACCACAAAACCGCCAAGTTTCAGAAAGGCGAGTGCCCAAGCGTCCCAAATAGGGTCGGTGCGCTGCCGTGGCGCCGCCAGCCCCCTTCAAACCACCAAGCTGCCACCAAATCGGCCTTTCTACCACGGTGAGTTACCGCGCCAACCCACCCCAGACCCTGGCTCCAGGTGTCCCGGGCCCCGGGATCCCAGCACTGGCCTCGCCCCAAGAGCCCCGCGGCAGTCCCCCAGAGACCCGGGCGCCCCGCCCACGCAGGACCCCCTCCACGCCTTTCGAGCACCCGCGTTCGCGGCCAGGCGAAGGCGCGTACCTCTACACCGCAGAGGACAACTCCCAACGCTGGCCAACCGAGGACAGCAACTATCTCCGGGGTCTGCCCCGCCAGCCCTCCCGGGCCACCGCCGGCTCTATTTCAAGTTGGAGTGCCGGCGCACGCGCACGCGCACTGCGGCGCTTCCGTGCTGTGCGAGCGGACGGCGTGCGGGCGCAGCGGCAGGTCCAGCGCGTGCGCGTGCGCGTGCGCGTGCGCGACGGTCGTGCCGCGGCCGGACCTGGGCGCGCTAGTGCGCTGACGCTTGCCAGCCCGCTGCGCTCTCCTCGGAGTTGCGCTTCCAGAGCTAGTGTGGGCGGTCGGGGCGGGACGCGGGCGGCGGGCGGCGGGCGTGGCCGGGCGCTCGGCCCAGAGCGCAGGAGGGAGGAGACGGGGTGAGGGTGCGGGAGTCGTGGCCCGCGCTGGGCTTGGAGGCGGCGGGCTGAGGAGCGGGTGGGCACCGGGCCAGCCGGGCACCGGACCCTGCCAACTACCCTAGGCCGTGCGGCGGCGTTTCCGGCTGGTGGAGCAGCGCTCAGGCCCTAGCGCAGGAAGATGTTCAACGTGGAGTCGTTGGAGCGGGTGGAGCTGTGCGAGAGCCTTCTCACTTGGGTACGTGGTGGCGGACTGGCTAGGCCGACCCATTCCCTGGGCCGCGCTTCGGGGTACTCGAAGCTTGTCCTGTGGGCGAGCGCCTCTGGCGACTAGGCCCTCACATCCGGGCCTTTCCGGGTGCCTGGGCCGGGCTTAGCGGAGGACGCCAGTGTGGGCTATGTCTACACTCCAGGTCGGGCCAGGCCGGGGATACCAGCGGCACAAGGGCGGGGGCAGGCGCGGCCCAGGGTCTGATCGAAACTTGCTGGGCTTGAGGGGCTGGCAGTTCCCACAGTGGAAACCGGCCCGGCCAAGGCTAATGATGGGGTGCAGGCGGCACTGTAATCGTTGTTTGCCGCCGGCACTTCTCTTGAGCTTCCAGGGACACCAAAACGTTCTTTCTCCTGCACCCCGACGCGGCCGGTAGAGGCAGTCGGGACCCTGGGTTATTAAGCCCTTCACCTTTGTTGTAACATCTGCGAAGGATGGAGCGAAGCTCCTTGGGAGATGAGCTCTGCCCACTGGGAAAGAAAAGAGAAGTATTTGAGGGGAGTGAGAAAAATATGAAGAGGCGCCATGGGACAGAATATTTAAAATGCTAGATGCATTTTGGCTGTTAGAAAGCAAGCTTTCACTTTTATAAGTGGAAAAACTTATTAAAGGGTCAAAGGTGAAACTTTTTTTAAGTAAAAGAAACGTATTTGGAAAATCAATAATGGAACTCCGAAATATTTTGGAGAAACGTTTTTGGGATTCTGATTTGAAATTATTTCACAGTTGTTCAGGTTCTAACATTTTATCTATTTTGGAGATAGGGTCTCACTATGTGAGACCAGGCTGACCTCGAACTCGCAATGATCCTCCTCTCCTGCCTTGGCCCTCTTAAGTGCTGAGATTACAGGCATGTGCCACCATGCCTGGGAGGTTCTGACATTCTAAAATCTGCATTGGATTCTAGTGTCAACAGTAGTGCTGGGAGAGCTGGATATTAAATTTCTGCGTGTATGTTTTCCGACTCTGGGTCTTCGGGTGGGGATGCAGAGGAGGCAGAACCATGGATTTAAATCAAGTGCTCCTTGGGACTCATCTGTTTTATTGGTTGCTAAAATGTTAAATAAATTTGCCTCTGGAAGAATCTTTTGGGCATAGAGATTGAACACAGAGTCTCATGCAAGTTAAATCATTTTCTCCACCTCTGATCTGCACCTCCTGGCCTTTCATACTTTAAAAGTGACATATAAATAGCAGTGCCTTGGGTTACATCTCTGGTTATAGGTTCACCTCACTTTATCCCGTGCAGGAGCACTTTGCTAGAAAGGTTTTAGAAGCATCGTCTTTGGTTATAATATAGTTTTTAAAAAGTCTTCACATTATTATAACATGACTATATGGTAAATCGAATTATGGCTCCATGGGCTGGGGAGATAGCTCGGCGGCACTGCCTAGAAAGTGCAAGGTCCTTGGTACCAAAAAATAAGAAAATTTAAGTTTAAATTATGGCTCCTGAAACAATATATATAGTGATAAAGCTTTTTTTTTGATAGGGTTTGATATGTTTAGTAAGTTTTATGTTAGACCATTCTTGGGATTTCAGGTTGTTCACATTTACCTATAGCTGACAAGCAATTTGAATAGGTTCTAACTTAAGGCAAAGAGATAGAAGCTGTGTCTCAAAAGGGATGATACAAGGTTTGACTAGATAGGGGCTGCTTTTTTGAAGTTTGAGAAAAGAACAGGCCTTGGAGAGGTTATACACAGAAAGATGAGGATCTTTAACTGTTGTATTATTGGATCTGTGCAGTAATGCCTTGCTCAATGCTAGAAAAAGCAGAGAAAGCAAAGATGACTGCTGAAGTGGTGCTCCATTGTTTAAAGTCTAGAAAGAAAAGTCAAATGGAGATGTATTTAAGAGGAAAATGATGATGGTTCAGTTATTTGAGAATGTGAAAGAATAGCAGAGGAAATATCAGGAAACTTTGAAGGGCTTATAATAGAAAATCACATGATTTCAGAGAATTTATTTAGAAACAGATGCAAAAATCCAGAAAGAATAATCCACATTAACTGGAAAAGACAGGGAGTATGGTCTCATAAATAGGCTTTCTGAAGTACTGACTGGAAGCGTTATCAAAGAAGACTTCTGGAAATTAGAGATTATTGAAGGTAAAACTGGAGGGTAAGTTCCATAAAATGATGTACAGTTCTCAGACTTCGAAACATTTTAAAACATTGTTCATTGAAATGATTGAAAATAGTTGACTTTTAAGTGTTGGGTTTTTTTCTCTTTTGGCTGTCATTAAAAGAGTAAATATTTGTATAGACAGTATTTGAGGTAGATGGACATGCACTTTTTAATCTAGTAGCATGCTTTCTGTCTGAATGCCAGATAAATGCTGAACACAATTCCAAAGCCAAATATAAAGGGAAATGTATCCAGTACACTCCAAAGTAAAGACTGTCCTTTAGAACAGTTTGCTATATTTTAAGTAAACTATTCAACTTGGTTGTGGGATGGGTTTTGTCTGTTTTGTTTTTGGTTTTTTGCACATGGTAGGCTAGAGGGCAACTGCAGCACTCAGCAAAATACAGACAGCTGTCAATGACAGAGAAGAGCCATGCAGTAAAGTTCAGTCTTGGTGACTCAGTTTTTGGGCTGCCAGCTCTGTGTGTCTCCGGAACCTCTGTGTACAGTTACAGAGCATGTTATATTTGTAATCCGGAGTAGGAAATAAAAGTTTTATTTCACTGTACAACATTCAGCTTGGGACAGGAGGGATGTGTATAGTAATATCTTAAACATTCTTCCACTAAAAATGGCTAATATAATGGAAGCTTAGGTGCATAAAAGGGATGACTCTTAGTCACCTATGTAGAATTCAGTCCTCTGGAACTGTATTTAGTTGCTCCAAGTAATGTTGGATAAATTGCCATTGTTATCAGAGAGCCTGAGATGTGGTTCAGATTTTTGTTGAAAGAGTACTTCCGAGTAATCCTACAAGTGGAATACATCTCAAGCTTCAATTCACAGTTTTTGCAGCCTGATGTGTTTAAACATTTCCACAGTATTGCTACTTCTACTCCCTGGATCAAAACTTATTGCTACTTGGTAGGAAAAGTCTGTCCTGCTTGTTAAATTTTGAAGCCTAGTTTCTTCAGTTATACCTGAATCTCAGTGAAAACATTACACTTTCCCATGGTTAATTTTCTTTATTGCATAATGCTGGGGATTGAACTCAGGGCCTTGTGTATGCTGAGCCCTGCTACTGAACTAAACCCCTCACCAAGCTTTAACCAGGTTTGAGAAACTGAAAAGCAAGACTGCAGTGCTTCCAGTTTGTGAGAATAAGCTAAGTGGAAAAGAATCATCATATAGACTTAGTGCACTTGTGGTAAAAAGCAGCGACCCTAATATATCATAGTTATTTTTATACTACTTATTTGGGAGCCTATAAAATGCATGCTAATATAAAGAAGTACAAATAATATAATTATTATGGTGATATCTCCCCGTGTCATACCCTCTCTCTGCTTAACTCCATCCTGTCAAAAGAGCTGATTTCTTTCTTTTTTTTTTTTTTTTTTGAAAGGGCGGATTTCTCTACTGAAAGAATAAAGTTCTTGTGTACAAAGGTTTTAATACTTTTAAAAAAAGTGTCAGTATAGCATGATGGTTCAGAGTACAGCTTCTAAGCCTGACCTACTTGGGTTCAGTTCCTGATTTTAATCTCAGACTACACTTCTGTCTGAGAATTGTGTTCATATTTGACACTAAGATTGCTGACCCTGGCAGTGGGTCTCATGCATTCACATTAACCAGAATTACCTTTGTTTGAAACATGGATTGCTGAGCCCCAGGGTCAGAGTTTCTAATTTCTTAGGTTTGGAGTACAATCTGAGGTTTTTACATTTCTGTTGAGTTTTCAGGTGATGCACAATGTTTAGAAAACCATTGCTCCAGTCAGGGTTTTTAACTTTGTCACCGTTAGACATTTTGGGCTGGATAATTCTCTGTTGTGATTGCTGTACTGTATAGTGTAGGATATTGAATAAATAGTAATATCTTGTTTCTACCTACTAAATATTTTTTTTTAATTTATGTATTTTATTTATGTGTGTGTGTGTGTGTGTGTGTGTGTGGCCACAGCACACCACAACAGGGCCGGGCCGGCTGGCAAGGGGGGCGGGGGGATTGAACCGCGGTCCCTGTGCTTTGCTAAGCTTGTTCTAAGGTGCTTTAGACCACTGAGCCATCACACCAGCCCTCTACCTACTAAATATTAATAGCACCTATCTTGTTCTCATAGTCAAAATTGTCTACTAAAGAGTAAAATCATCTGTGGTTAAGACTCACTGCTCTTAACTGCTAATTCCAGGGTTTCTCATGATTACTTCTCATACTTTTGTTGGGGAAGGCGAAGCAGACGTTAGATGGTATTCATAGAAGTTGAGATCCTTTAGGTGGAATTGTGTACCCTAACAAGGTTAAGCCTGGTTATCTTTGAATTATATTGTATTGCTTTCCTGAAATGCTCTGTAGATGATAGCTCAGAGAATTGGTAGTTGATAGATATTTTTTATATTGAGATAATTTACATGCCATAAACATCATCCTCTGGTTTTCAGTATAGTCACAGGTTGTGCTGTTATCACTGTTGTCTAGGTCCACTAACATTTTCATTGTGTTCAAAAAGAAAATCCATGTAAAAATCTTCATTTTCTTCTCAAAGTAGAGGTGGACATTGTCTAGCCTTCATGAATAACTATGTATCTCAAGGGCTAATACAAGAAAATAATTGTTTTGAAGCACATATTAAAATCAGAAATGAAAAGTTAGCTTTTTCTGAGTCCTCTAAGAGAAAAACAAATCTAGTCTTAGAACTATAAATTATTCTTAAATATTTATTTATTTATTTATTTTGTGTGTGTGTGTGTGTGGCCAGCTCAGCCCACCAGGGGGCGGGGCTGACTGGCATGTGGTGCTGGGGGATTGAACCGCGGTCCCTGTGCTTTGCTTAGCTTAGCTTGTTCTAAGTAGGTGCTTTAGACCACTGAGCCATCTCACCAGCCCTAAATTACTCTTTAAATTAATCTATTTAATTGTTTTTTCTGATTAGGCAGAGGCAGTTTTCTAATCTTACATCCTGGTGGGAATATAGCTCTGTATTTGAGCTGAAGTACAGTGGCCTGAGTTCAATCCTTTGCACTTTAGGGGCAAGGGATGATAATCTTTCATATGGTAATGCTTTGAATGAGAAGATTCCAAATCTTAAACCAGCACTCAGTTACATAAGAATTATTTGATGAACTTGTTAAGAATAGATTTCTAGTCAGGGGTAGTGCCACATGCCTGTAATACTACTACTTGGGAGGCTGAGGCAGGAAGATTGAGACCCAGTAAGCACAACAAAAAATAGATTTCCATCTCCCTGTGCACCAGTGTACAGAGATTCTGATTCAGTAAGTGGAGCTAAAAAAATGTGTATTTTCAAAATAAAAATTTCCCAGATGGTTCTCATGTATAAACACATGTATTTTGAGAGTAACTAATAAACACTTGTCTCATTCACCCTTTTGCAAGGTATTTTTCTCTAGCATTTATACAGAAAAATTAATATTAAGAGAAGTGAGGTTAGCTCAGCCTGAAGATACATGCCTATAATCCTAGCTGTCTGGGAGGCTAAAATGAGAATTTCACAAGTTCAAGCCCACCCTGGGCAACTTAGTGATTTATGGAGACCCTGTCTCTAAAGGGTAGGGATGTAGCTCAGTGTGAAAGCCCTGGGTTCATTCAATCTCAGTCTCTCAATCTCTCCTCTCTCTCTCTCTCTCTCTCTCTCTCTCTCTCTCTCTCTCACACACACACACACACACACACCCTACCCCTCCCCTGATGAGATATCATTGACTACATAGAAAATTAGAAATAAGGCAGGGTTTAGAATATATTACATTCACAACTGTATTTACTGGGACTTATTCTGTCTGGTACCTTGGGATAAGGTTAGTGATAAGAAATAAAAGAGACTTGAACATCTCTGTTACTGCTTTTCCTTCTAGCCAAATCTCTAGAGACATAACATTTTTTTAAAAAAAATAAGGGCTGGTGAAATAGCTCAGCAGACTAAGCACCTGCTTAGGCAAGTGCAGGGACCTGCTTTCGATCCCAGTCCTGCATGCCGTGCTAGCCCCACCTCCAGGGTGCACTGAGCTGGTGAATGAGGCCAGGTATGTGTGTAATCCCAGCACGGGGAGGCTGAAAACAGGAGGATCACTACGAGTCCAAGCTGTGTAGTGAGACCCTGTACCAAATACATAAATGAAAAAATAAAATAAGGGGCCATTAATTTAGCAGTTATAAAATGAAAACAAGTGCTTATTTCTTTTAAAATTATGAGGAGGTAGCTCTAGACAGTATGGAGTAAAGTCCCAAATCAGTTCCTACAGATGATGCTAAGTTATCCAGATTGGCTTCAAACTCAAGCTTCCCAGGTAGCTGGAACATAAAGATGTATGTCACCTTGCCTGGATTGTCTATTAATTTTTTTAATGAAACTGTTTTTTATCAGTTGTGACCTTTCTTATCACCTCTCCCAAAATATCTACCTAACTAAAAACTGTCTTCTATGAGGAATTTTTCTTTCTTCTTTTTTGTCATACTGGAGAGTAAGCCCAGAATGCTTTACCAGTAGCTACATCCCCAGATCTTTTTATTTTGTGGCAGTGTCTCACTAAGTTGCTTAGGTTGGTCCCAAATTTTATATCCTCTGGATCTGCCTCCAGAGTAGCTAAGATTATGGGCATGTACCACCACACCTGCTTATGAAGATCTTTAAGGTAATTGGTGGTTGCCACCATAACCATCATTACCCATAAGACTCTACTAAGTTGATTATGAGGGAAGTATGACTGTCTGGGAAGTTTGGCAATATTTATCAAAAATTTGAAAAAATGTGTATACATTTTGACACAGCAGTCCTTTTTTTTGTCCCCTCCCAAACCAATAAATGAAAAAGACAAATGGTCACGTAAGTATAATTCTGTAGATTAGCCTCATCTGTGTTAAACTAGGGACCTGCTAAAGTAGGTTCCTCCCCTTTACCACCTCGGTATCGTAGCCAGTAAAATCTTTATGCAGTTCAGATCTCAAAACTTCACTTTCCTGCTGAACCTCCTTTGCATTAGTCCTGTCTTTTATTACTTTACCTTTCTCTCTGTTCTGTCTCTTCCTATAACTCTTACCACACACCCCCAACCATACTAATCAGACTTTTGCTTATTTCTAGATTGTTTCACATTCTCATCTGTACTTCTTGTTGCTGTAATACTTTTTCATTGAACTATAAGGTCTGTCTATGAGAGTAAGGTCTGTGTCTATTTTTAGTAATTCCTTCTAAATTAAGATGGAACTGTTGAATAATAATCCAACACTCGGATACATTTTCTTACATTTTTCAACCACATTATATTTGACAAGTACAAACTTTGTTCTGATTTACAATATATTTGAAAACAAACTGAATTGAATATAGAATCTATGGTAAATGCACTTCCTACATATATATAAATGTATTTTGGCTCTAAGTAACAAACCTCAGCTGTCTAGGCTTAAACAATAGAGTAAGGTATCTTACAAAATAGGAGACTTGAAGGTTTTTAAATTCAGTGATTCAGTTTTTATCTCAAGGACTTAGTTCTGTCTCTTCTCTCAACCTGATCTAAATGCCTCATCCCATACTAGTTGTAAGATGACTGCTTGCAGCAATTGAGGCAACTGCCTTCCTCACATGAATAGATTGACTTTTTCTCAAGGAAGCATCTCAATATGTCTCTTTGATCTCCATTTTCTCTCCCCTATTTATCACTGAGTTGATTACTGGTAGAAGGGCTAAAGTTACCATAATTTTTATAGATTCTCTTTGAGTAGAATGCATAGTATAAAGTCATCTGGTATATCTACCAGTTTTTCTTTCAAAAATTTCACTAATTAGCCACTTTTGGCAAGAAAGTTTTCTTTTTAAAAATTAATTCCAACCCACAGGATGAGATAATCACCAAAAAAACATACAACCCAAAGAAATCTTTATGTAGTTTAACCATAGAATCTTTTTTCCTTTCAGATCCAGACATTTAATGTGGATACATCATGCCAGACTGTGGAAGATTTAACGAATGGGGTTGTGATGGCCCAGGTTCTCCAAAAGATGTGAGAATTGTTTATCTTTTATATATAGATCTTTACCAGATGGAAAATACAAATATAAAAAGTGTGTTAGTTACTTTTCTGCCACTGTGACAAAATACTACCTGTGATCAGACATAGGAGAAAGGGTTTATTTTTATCCTAGTCTTGGAGGTTTTTTTTTTTTTTTTTTAAATGCATTTAGGACAGGGTGTACAGAGTCTCACTATGTAGATCAGACTCGTAGTGATTCTCCTGTTTTCAGCCTCCAAAGTGCTGGGATTATAGGTGCATACCACCATGTTCAAGTCTCAATTGCCTTCTCAGCAATTAGGGGCAAGGCCAGTAGGGCACACTGGGGAGTGAACCCTGACTGCTGCACTCTGCCAAAGCAGGTGCTTTAGTCCCCTGAGCTATCTGGCCAGCCCTGTCTTAGAGGTTTTATAACATTCATTGAACCATTGCTTTTGGGCCTGTGGTAAGACAAAACATCATGGTAAAGGAAGCTACTCACTTCATGTCAGTAGAAGATGAAAGAGAAAAGGGCTGGAGCTCTCACTAACTGGGAGTATCGACACATCCCCAATAACATACTTCCTTCCACTAGGCCCTCGTGTATCTTCTGATTATCATTCTTTTTTTCAGAGCTATTTTAGTTATTTCTAATGTGATATCACTGACTTAGTTTCTTTTCACTCATTGCTGGGACAAATACCCAAGACTCAAAATAAGGAAGGAAAGTTATTTAGCTCACAGTTTGTGGAAGTTTTATTTCATACTCCACTGGCTCCAAGGCAAATGGCAGCAGTTCATGGCAGCAGAAAACAATGAAGAGCAGAGGAGGAGCAACAGCTGTGGTGTCTATCAAGCCTCTCTCTCTTCCTTCTACTCTGACTGTGAAGATCAGAGCTCCTCTGAAGTGGTGCAGCTGCAAAGATCAAGCTGCTCTGAAGTGGCACAGCTGCAAAGTGATGCAACGAAGACTTTAACTTCTCCAAGGAAGCAGGGTGTGGAGAAGCCTTCCTCAACTCCTTAATATACACTTTTTTGTGCTGAATCACTCTGGGGGGAGCCCATTGTGCCTTAAGGCAGGCCCAATTGTGCCCCAGGTTGGGCCCTGCTGTCCTTGCAGGGCAGGGCCCTCAAGGCCCCAAACTGGCAGGACCCATTCAGCCAAGTTGACACAATGTATCAACCACTACAATCACTTATACAAAAATCTGTAATAATTAGGCAAGAAATAAGTTACTAAGAAACATTTCTGTATTACACATACTTTTCCTTCAATGATGGACAAATATCAAAGAGGTAATTTTGTACCTCTTTATATTTTTTATATTGTAATTTTGTCATATATCATAAAAATATTGCTAAATCAAAAATAGCAAAAGAAGTTTCTAAGCAATTGTAGATTAAGTACTATTAACTGGATTTAGATTTCATTATTGCTTAAACACCTAGAAAATGATACATGACATCATAAAGAATTAGGAAGCAGAAAAGCACACATTTAATATGAAAGCATTTTGATAGCTTAACAGTTTCAACTGGGAGCCATAGTATCAATCCTCATCTTTCATATAGTGCAGTAATTCGTACAACAAACATTCAAGTCGGTACCCAAGCCATTAAATAAGTCACTGAGGATATAGCAGTAAGTAAATAAAACACAAATCCTTTCCCTCATAAAATTTGTAGTTTATTTACAGGAAAGTAACACGGAAGACTGGCTTATTGCCTGTGATAAAATGCTATGAAGGAAATTTATAGGGGGCAATGCTAGTCAGGGAACACCTCTGAGGCAAGTCGAAAGCCAGAGCTCATCTAAGGGATGAGAAGTAGGAAATAAACAAAGCAGACAAAGCCAAGAAAATGTTTCATGTGAAGATCTGAAAGTGGGAAGAATTTATGAGTGCTTTGAGGGATGAAGTGTGGTCATCGAGAAAAGGTACAAAGGGCAAAGGACTAGACCAGGTAGGGCCCTGTGAATGACCGGAAGTAATAGAAACATTAGTTCAAAAACTGGAAGTTGTTTATATTTGAAACAGTCTTGCTCTGTAAAGCAGGCTGGCCTTGAACTTGAGGCATTCATCTCAGCTCATATCTTTTTCATATCTTCAAGAAGTTTACCTATTCTTTCTTTCAACAGACTTTATGTTTTAATATTTAGATCTTTGTTCCATTTTGAATTTAGTGCACAGTGAAAAATATGAGATTAATTTTAATGTTTGATATATGGAAAGCCAATTTCAGAGCATCATTTATTGAAGAGGCTATCTTCAATCAATGTATTTGGCAAAGATAAAGTGGCTCAGCATGTCTGAAGTTCTTTCTGTATCTTCTAATCTATTCCATTGATCCTCAGCTGTGTTTGAGATGGAACAAAGGTTTCTTTTCTTGCCAGTATCATGCTGTTTTTATCATAGGAATGCTGTGGTGTAATTTCAAATTAGAGATTGTGTGCCCACACCCTTGCTTTTGTTGCCTAGAACTGCCTTTGCTATTGTAGCTTTCTTGTTCCAAATAAATTTTAAAATTGCTTTTTCTAATTCTGTGAGGTATACTGATGAATTAAATCTGTATAACAATTTTGGAAGTATGGCCATTTTTGCTATATTGATTCTTCCTACCCAAGGATAAGGGATACCATTCCATTGTCCTGTTTTTCAGTCTCCCAAGCACTGGGATTACAGGCGCACGCCACTATGCCCAGTCTCAATCATCATCTCAGCATACCCCAGGGGCAGGGCCAGCATGGCATGCTGGGGATTGAACCCCAGCCACTGTACTCTGCCTAAGCAGATGCTTTAGTCCGCTGAACTATCTGACTGGCCCCCAAATTCTGTAGTTTTTAGTGCAGAGGTCTTTTACTTCTGTTAAATTGATTTGTAAGTATTTCATTATTTTGGATACTACAGTAAAAGATGTTATTTCCCTCATTTGTTTTTCAACAAATTTGTTATTTGTGTACAGGAAAGCCATTGATTTTTGAATGTTAACTTTATATCCAGCTACTATTGATTTTAGTTACTAAATCTAGATGTCTTTTAGTAGAGTTTTGAGGTGGTCTATGTAGAATATCATGTCATCCACAAATAATAATTTAACTTTTTGCTTTCTTAACTATTAATGCTTTTATTTCTTTCTCTTATTTAATTGCTGCAGCTACAGTTTCCAGAACCATATAGAATAAGAGTGGTGACAGTGGACATCTTTGTCTTTTTCCTGATTTTAGAGTGAAAGCTTTCAGTCTTTGTCCATTTAATATGATGTTGTCTGTTGGTTTGCTATACATGGTGTTTTGGTTTTGTTTTGTTTTTTTTGCGCCGAATGCCTTCAAGTAAATAAAGCAGTAAGTAAATTATTTAGCAGTAAGTAAATAAAACACAAATCCTTTCCCTTCAAGGCATGACTGGCTGTCTTGTGTTGTGGGGATCGAACCACAGCAACCTGAGCCTGACTGCTTTGTTGAAGCAGCCACTTAAAGAACTGAGCTAAGGGGCAGGCCCCCTATACATGGTATTTAGTTACTTTTCTCTTGTTGCTGAAATAAAATACCCATCACTCAGAATTAAAGGAGGAAAGATTTATTTAGCTTAGTTTGTGGAGGCTTCAGTGTGTAATCAGCTGGCTCCAAGGCAGGATAGTGTGGCACAGGGGCCAGGAAACAGCAGAAGCAACAAGAGCAAAAGAGGGAAGATCAAGTCTCTTTTCTTCCCTTACATTATGTGCAGGTTACCTGCCCATTTCATCTCCATGCCTTCCTCTTATACAGGCTCAGAGTGAGGACTCTGGCTCCTGCTAAGTCACTTAGTTAAGTTTTTGAACTTCTCAGTATTCAACTTGGTACAGTGTATCAATCATAGCAGATGTATTTTATCAAATTAAAATGAAGAATATCCCAGGTTTCTGTGGGCTTTTTATTATGAATGGGTATTGGACTTGGTCAGAACCTTTTTTTTTTTATTGAGAGCTCATACTGTTTTCATCCTTGGCTCTGTTAATTGGTGTATTACATTTATTGATTTATATCTGTTGAACCCCTGCATTCCTGTGATGACTCCTACTTGGTCATAGTATATAGTGTTAATGACTTGCTGCATTCTGTTTGCCAGGATCTTATTGAGGATTTTTGCATCCATTTTCATTAGGGTGATAGGCCTGTATTTCTGCTTCTTACTTGGGTCGTTCCCTGGTTTTTGGTATCAGGATAATGCTGGCTTCCAGGAATGAATTTGAAAGTATTGCTTCCCTTTCAATTTTATTAAAGAGCTAGAGAAGTAGTGGTATTAAGTCTGCTCTAAATTTCTCTTAGAATTAAGAGATAAGTCCATCAAGGCCTGAGCTTTTCTTTGTTGGTAGGTTTTAATTACATCTTCAATTTCATTTATTGCTATTGCTTTATTTAGGATTTTTATATCTTCTTGATTCAGCTTTAGTAATTCATATGTATCTAGGAATATGTCCATTCTTTTTCTACATTTTTCAGTGTTTTTAGAATACAGGTTCCCAAAGTAGGTAGGGCGGGGACCGGGGAGATGGCTCAGTGGAATAAGCATTTCCCTGGCATGTGCAAAGACCTGAGTTCAATCCCCGGTTCTGGAAAAAAAAAAAAAAAAAAAGTAGGTAGCAATTACCTTGTGGATTTCTGTAGGATCTGTTGTGATTTCACTCTTTTCATCCTAATTGTGTGGATTTGAGTCTTTTCTTTCCTTGGTTTTGTTTTTTTTTTTTTTAAAGACTGGCTAAGAATTTGTTTATTTAATCTTTTACAAAAACCAACTAAATTCATTATTTGTATTGTTTCTTTCCTTAATCTCCATTGCATTAATATTTAATCTTCATTATTTCCTCCTTCATACAAGCTTTGGGCTTGGCATACACTTCTCTTTTTAGGAATTTGAGGTTCATCAGTAAGTTGTTTATTTGAGCTTACTCTATTCTCCTAGTATGGATATTCAGTGTTATAAATTCCGCTTGTAGAACTGCTTTCATTGTGTCCCATAATTTCCAGTATGCTGCGT